TCTATTAAAACTTACAATTTGAGAAAAGTAGTATGATTTTAGACAATTTTCATTAAACTTGTGTAAAGTTAATGATAAATTTATTTGATGATGCGATTAATTTTTATTTGAAAGTAATTTAATAGTTATAATTAGTAGTAAAATATTTCCACTAAAAAATGTTTATTTAATTTATAATTAGTTGTATTGATGTGAATAACATAACTGTAATAATGAGTGAAATGAGTGTTGAATGCAATGACAAGATATCGATCGCATGGATTGGTTTGACATTTAAGACCAAATCCGTACTCAAGAGGAAAGAGACGATCATTTTGAAGGGATTGAGCGGATCGGCAGAGTTGGGCACTTTGACGGCAGTGATGGGTCCGTCGGGTGCGGGACTGACATCACTGTTGATGTGTTTCAATGGTATGAATAACTCGGAGTTGAGTCGCGAAACGGAGATCCGGTTGAGTTGTGTCCATAAGATTAGGTCGACTTTTATCGGACACAATGAGAAGGAGTTTGTGATAATGGGTTTGACTGCCAAACTAATGGTATGAATAACTCGGAGTTGAGTCGCGAAACGGAGATCCGGTTGAGTTGTGTCCATAAGATTAGGTCGACTTTTATCGGACACAATGAGAAGGAGTTTGTGATAATGGGTTTGACGGCCAAACAAAATATGATTTACGCCTCGAAACTGAAGAATAGTAGTCATCGAGAGTGCGATCACGAGATGAATGTGATGTCCATTATGTCGGATCTGATGATTGCCGACACAATGGACACAAAGGCTGAGAGATGTAGCGGAGGGGAGCAGAAGAGACTGGCCATCGCTCTCGAGTTGACAGCAATTCTCAAACCAAACCTCATTTTATGTGACGAACCGACCACTGGTTTGGACAGTAATGTCGCTGAAGTGGTCAGTCATCCAATCATTTCACTTATATTTTATTATTTTCTAATGTAATGACAATAATGTTAATTATATCGAAAGGTAATGCAATGTCTGAGAAGTTTAGCCCAAAAGAGCAATATATCGATCATTGTGTCCATACATCAGCCGAATTCAGATATTCTCCAAATGTTTGACAATTTGTATGTTTTGGCAAAAGGGGGTCATTGTGTGTATTGGGGACCACCTGTCCAACTGACACAACACCTCAATCACTGCAACATCACATTGAATGAGAATCAGGTGCCCATCGAGTTGTTGATAACCATCGGTGGGAACGGTATTCAAGACCAAAGAGTTGTGACATTAAGAGACCAAACGAACCGACAAACGAAACAATTGATGCAAACAATTATGAGTCAAACGAAACAAAAACTAATAAAACATAAAAAGAAAAACTTTTCGTTTAAAGACATTTCACTTTTGTTGTCGAGAAAAGTGACTGAATTTTATTCATACGAATGGAAACAAATACTCGGAATAAATGCTATATTCCTTACAATGACAGATAACTACCAGTCATATATACCGTTACTATAGCCTTTTATACTGCTGACATACAGTAAGTTGTGGTGGTCATGATACTTAACAAACGTTGAGTACCTTTCCCTAATGTACCAACTGAACTTAAATAATTATATTTATTTTTCGCTTTGGTTATGTCAGTTGATTCAATGTAATCTCACGGCAATTACAAAAATATCTCGTCTCAAGATTTTTACAAATGAACACCAAAATAGTTAAGCATTACATTTGTTTTATTACTTATTGAATACAATTCAATTTATTTTGTATTCCGAAATTTATGTTTATTATAATTACGATTATTAACAAGTTTTTTTTGTAATCTTTTTAATTTAAACACATTTTTGTTTAAAACCACTTAAAAATTCCAATATAATAATTTATTATAATTCTAATTCAATCTAATCATATAAATTCAAAAATGAATTCTATTAATAATAACTTATTTTATTTATACTGTATATCTTACAAACTCTTTGCAAACAGAGTGGTACAGCAGTGGTGTATATTATCTGACAGAAACCATAGCAGATATTTTAAAGACATCCATAAGCGCAGCATTTTCTGCAATGTCTATTGATGGTCAGTATATATGGCAATGATATCGGAAAATATGACGACTGTATGTCATTCAACACCACCAGTACTATGAATTGTTTGCAACTCATGGAAAGGGATTACATGGTTGACTTGAATTTAAATTATATTTATTTTTCGCTTTGGTTATGTCAGTTGATTCAATGCAATCTGACGGCAATTACAAAAATATCTCGTCTCAAAATTTTTACAAATGAACACCAAAATAGTTAAGCATTACATTTGTTTTATTTCTTATTCAATACAATTCAATTTATTTTGTAATCCCAAATTTATGTTTATTATAATTACGATAATTAACAAGTTTTTCTAATCTTTTTAATTTAAACACAATTTTGTTTAAAACCACTTAAAAATTCCAATATAATAATTTATTATAATTATAATTCAAGGAATCATATAAATTCAAAAATGAATTCTATTAATAATATTTTATTTATACTGTATATCTTACAAACTCTTTGCAAACAGAGTGGTACAGCAGTGGTGTATATTATCTGACAGAAACCATAGCAGATATTTTAAAGACATCCATAAGCGCAGCATTTTCTGCAANCTCGTGATCGCACTCTCGATGACTACTATTCTTCAGTTTCGAGGCGTAAATCATATTTTGTTTGGCCGTCAAACCCATTATCACAAACTCCTTCTCATTGTGTCCGATAAAAGTCGACCTAATCTTATGGACACAACTCAACCGGATCTCCGTTTCGCGACTCAACTCCGAGTTATTCATACCATTCAAACACATCAACAGTGATGTGAGTCCCGCACCCGACGGACCCATCACTGCCGTCAAAGTGCCCAACTCTGCCGATCCGCTCAATCCCTTCAAAATGATGGTCTCTTTCCTCTTGAGTACGGATTTGGTCTTAAATGTCAAACCAATCCATGCGATCGCTATCTTGTCATTGCATTCAACACTCATTTCACTCATGATTACAGTTATGTTATTCACATCAATACAACTAATTATAAATTATAAAATAAATAAACATTTTTTAGTGGAAATATTTTACTACTAATTATAACTATTAAATTACTTTCAAATAAAAATTAATCGCATCATAAAATAAATTTATCATTAAATTTACACATGTTTAATGAAAATTGTCTAAAATCATACTACTTTTCTCAAATTGTAAGTTTTAATAGAGTTTAGAAATTTTTGTAGTTTAGAAATAATATTTATACAAATATGGAAATTTTAAAACAAATATTAAACATAGTGCTAAATATGTTTATAAGTTTTTATATCTTATGTTACTACCTTATAATTAAATTAATTATTGATTTACTTAATATTAAATTTTAACCCCTGTATTAAACCTAGTTTTTGTAATATAATAATTTCCGTTTTATATAACATAAGATTTTTAATGAAAACAAATGGTTTTAATTAATTATTTAGATTTTTAATACTTAAGCAAACTACTGTATTACTATTGTATACAATCTATATTATAGATACAATAAATAAGTTACCAAGTACAATTAAATACAGTATAACGAACAATGTATGTTGGCCATATCTGTTATTACTGAATGCTTACAAGTTAGTACAGGGACTTATTAATCAAAATAATATTTATTACCGTAATACAATTTTGATTGCATGATTGTATTTTAATGTATATTTTTAGTACCAATTTTGCATTTAAAATTAATGTTTTCAAAAATTTAGAAAACAACAAAGTATTTATAAGAGACATTTTAAAAGTAATGTTAAATCATAATCACTTCAATAACTTCAATAATGACAAGTTATTTGTTTTATTTTTATGTATTTAGTATTGCCCATGGTAATATATTAAAATTAAAACTTACTAATATGAACATAATCATATTAACTTACTGTACTCTACTATTAAATAAGATTTAAACAATTCAAGCAAAATCTTTGACATTTAAAGTTTGAAAGTAAATATTGCATATTTATTATTGAGTTATTTAAGTTACAGTATATGTAAATTGGATACAATATTAATAAAACCTAAACATAGTTTTTATACTTAATAATACTTAATATACAGTATAGTAGAAATAATAATAATTTTAATATAAACAAAATTTTTAATTAAGTAAAAATTTAATTAATATGATTTTTAGTCTAAATACTGAAGAGGTGATGACATATAAAAGTACTCAAATGTGTATATGATTATTATGTGAGTATTTGATAAAATATAATCTAAAACTATACAGTAATATAATAGTTGATGATTGCTAAATATATGAACACTTAAAAGTGTTTAGTGTTAAGACTGACTGTGATTTAACAGCAATATATTCAATGGTGATTGAGTGCAAGGGGTGGACTAGTTCATGTTCAAGGACATACAGTGTATTTCTAGTACTTTTCTAACATGCTCAATATTTTCCTCGCAACTAAATAAAAACATGAACCATACAATTTCACTAACAGTGTGTTTATAAATGCAAAAACTGTATTTAATGTGCAATTCTACTTGATTAGTTAAGATATTCTTAATTGAAATAAAGTAAAACTATGGGTTTGGTTAGAAAGTTATTTCTGGTGACACTTCTCATAGGAATCGGTGCTGTAATCTATCCATTAGTATTCAGACGTGAATTACAATTACCAGAAGTAAAGGACCAGTGGTTTGGGAAAACTAAACTTAAAAGTAAGTTATTATTCATAAAATTTTACAAAATAATAATACAGACAAATAGATAATCTGGAGACCTGGGTCCTTTTAATACAATTTGTATCTCAAAACTTTCAATAATTTCCTCACATTTCTCTGATAATAATAACAAGTAATTAAAATAACATCTAAAAGGTTATAATATTGTTGTGTTCAACAAACAGGTGGACAGCCCTTTCCCAAAGACCCGGATGCTATCAATAAATTCTCGGTTAATATACCCGATAAAGCACTCAATGATCTGAAACAACGACTAGAGTCGGCCCGATATGTGGAACCCATANTTTCCCAAAGACCCGGATGCTATCAATAAATTCTCGGTTAATATACCCGATAAAGCACTCAATGATCTGAAACAACGACTAGAGTCGGCCCGATATGTGGAACCCATAGCCGGAACTCAATTCAATTATGGCTTTAATGGCGATTATCTTAAGAAAATTGTCGACTATTGGAGGAATACCTATGATTGGCGTAAATATGAGTCACAATTGAATCAATTCCCACAATACAAGACACAAATCAATGGCATTGATGTCCACTTCATTCACGTGAAGCCATCAAAACCGGCAAAAACTGTTATCCCACTTATGGTTAGCAAATAATTTTTAATCATTAATTTAGTTAATTTACTAAATTTACTAAATATTAAGCTATAATTTAAAAATAAATTAACAGATAATCCATGGATGGCCTGGATCAGTTTGGGAGTTCTATAAAGCAATTCCACTACTAATTGAACCAAACAATGGCATCGCGTTTGAAGTGATCGCTCCGTCAATACCCGGCTTTGGTTTCTCGGAGGCACCCCATCAAGAGGGTCTGACCCTTGGATTCACTGTTTTGCACAACCATTATATGTGACATTCACTATAATTACTTCCATTAGGTTTCGATGTGATCGCGACGACAAGAGTTTTTGTTAAACTAATGGCTA